TTTGCTTAAGAAATATAGGGAGCATATTTAATCAAATCAGGCATTTACATAATTATGATTTCCCTCCATTATAATTTTTGCATTCTGTTAGCAAATTTGGCTTTTGCTAACATGATGCAAAAGTTGTTAATGAGTCTCATTGTATTAGCAACTTTCTATGACATTAACAAAATTAAATTTGCTAATAGAATATGACAGTTACTAACATAAGATTAGTGCAAAGAGAGACCAAAATCTCAGTAGGCCATCAAAAGGTAATGATCAACATGTAAAGAATGCCTGGTTTGTTTTTTCTTCTTTGTTAAATATAATGTGAATGTGTGTGCAATGTCATTCCCATTCGCAGCTACAAAGGGCTCCCTAGGAAGGTCTCTTTTACACAACATTAATGCAAGCACAACACAATGATTAATTTTAGATAGAAAGTTATGAGCCATCAACTTTCCTCATTGAAAAAGAAGTAACTCATTCAACAAGATGAACTGACAGAAGCATCATTCAAAATATGCATCCTTAAACTCAGATATACATTATGAAAATAAGGTAGAATTTTATTAGATAACCTTTTAAAGTAGAATTATTAAGCAACTTCATTAGTCACATATCAAGATAAGTAAAAAGTTTATAATCAGAAGGAAAAAACTCAAAAAGCCAGAGGATTTTAGTTTTTTTCAGTCACAACAAGATTGATTTCCTAAATTCTCTGCCACTCTAACAACTTGGAAAATTGAGAGACGCAGTACTTTAAAGAAAAACTAAATCATTGGTTCCAGTTAAAAGATTTTGAGTTCATATGCCATCTAAATCATTAGAATATTGTTTATTACCTAGAAAGAACAACTGATATAATTTTAAATAGAAACATAATTGAGACAGAGATATTGAATTCAAATTATCTCTAAACCTACCTTGGACAACCCCAAAATAATATGATGTCTCCTGGTTTCAATTTAGAATGCAGGAGACCATGAATTCTAGCTCCACCTTAGGCAAAAAGCCAATTGTGTGACCTCAGGCCAATAGCTCTCACTCAACTCTTTGGAAAAGGCAATGATAAACTGCTTCCAAAAACTGGAAGTCAGGACTCAAAACTGACTTTAAAGCACAAATCACACTGACAACAACATAATTTATAGATACGAGTGCTTCCTAGTGAATCACCTCCAACTGGATCTGGAAAGTCTACATGTAAGAAAAAAATGGCACCTCCATTTAACATTGTTTTAATAATAATTCTGTTTCTGTTAATATTTAACAGCATCAGAATAATGTGACCCCAAACAGCTGATGAGTTCAAATGGCAGGAAGGTTTCCAGAACTTGACCCACAAAGAAGGTCAACCAAAACCCTAACCCCACTCCATCCTCTCTGCCTTTTGGAATGCTCAACTTGCTGCTGGGATAATTAGCAAGAAGAAAAATAATGTCTATATTTACATTTGTTGGAAAGAAAGGGATTACAAAGAGAGTAAGCACATATACAACGGGGAATATACATTGAAAAGAATGTGCTAGTACTGGCTATTTCTATCATATTTCAAGTCCTAAAATGGACACCTAACATCAAAAACGTCATCAAAAAAGCACAACAAAGAATGTTCTTTCTGCAGCAACTCAGAAAGCTCAAACTGCCCAAGGAGCTGCTGATACAGTACTACAGAGGAATTATTGAGTCTGTCATCTGCACCTCTATAACTGTCTGGTTTGGTTCTGCAACCCAACAAGACAGACACAAACTTCAGAGGATAATTAGAACTGCAGAAAAAACAATTACTCCCAACCTGCCTTCCATTGAGAACCTGTATACTGCATTCAAAAAGAGGGCTATGAAAATATTTACAGATCCCTCGCATCCTGGACATAAATTGTTTCAACTCCTACCCTCAAAACAACGCTATAGAGCACTGCACACCAGAACATCTGGACACAAGAACAGTTTTTTCCTGAATGCCATCACTCTGCTAAACAAATAATTCCCTCAACACTGTCAAACTATTCACTAAGTCTGCATTACTATTACTATTACTATTAATATTAATATTCTCTTAATTCCTATCACCCATCTTCTCCCACTTATGATTGTATGACTGTAACTTGTTGCTGTAGCCTTATGATTTATATTGATTGTTTCCTAGTATGATTTGATTATTTATTTGTACCCTATGACTATCATTAAGTGTTGTACCTTATGATTCCTAATGAATGTATCTTTTCTTTTTATGTACACTGAGAGCATATGCACCAAAGACAAATTCCTTGTGTGTCCAATCACACTTGGCCAATAAAGAATTATTTCATCTATCTATCTATCTATCTATCTATCTATCTATCTATCTATCTATCTATCTATCTATCTATCACAGTTCTGAGCCCAAAGCTACTTAGGAGACAAAGAAAAGTGGAAGGTGTGAAACTAATCAAAGTCTTGTCAGTTACAGGCAATATCTGCCAGCAGGTTAATTAAGGTCATTGAGCTGAGCTTGTTATGGTGCAGTTAGCGCTTTTTAAGGATGCACTGCGGTGTGGAAAATAGCAGTTCAGGAAGAGACAGCTTGCTTAGACAATCTCTTTGCTCTATGAAGGAAGACAACAACAACAAAAAACCACCAGGAGCAAGATAATGTGTACTAACTGTATTGGTGAACTGCAACTGTCTTAAATGCAGGCATTAGTTACTTATTCATCACTGTTGTAACTGCAAGTGGTCACTGTCTGAGGCAGTCACTAAATGAGGTCTATGTGTACAACTTTTCATTTGCGAGCCATGTATTTTACCCAGTTTATAAATACATTTGACCAAATGACTCTTCCCTGCTTTGAAGGATAATGAAATCTATAGCTGACAAATAAAATGCCTCACGTCAGTTCAATTTGTAACTATCTGAATGATTACATTCATGGCCATTTGGCTTCGCCTGCATTTGATGAAACAGCTTTTGCTCCTACAAATGTCAGCCTTTCTCAACCCAATCCAAATAGATTCGGACTACAACTTCCACTAATGCCAGGCGGCAGGTGCCTAGAAATTCTGGGAACTGCAGTTCCAACTCATCTGAAGGGCAAAAGGACGGCTTAAGCTATAGCACATTTCTTAATCTTTTCAAGGAATCAAGGGATATTGGTTCTTTTCAGATAACAGACTTATTAGTGGTACCATTTGGGAAGTTCTTATGTACATAAGCCTCAACCAATAATTAGCCCCATAAATATTCTCATAAAGCAAAACATGGGAAAAAAGCCAACAAAAAAACCAACCAGAAGAGCAATCAACAACATCCTTTATTATAACAGAACTGGCTACTCTGCTCTTGACCTATTAAAACTTTGTTTGCTATTATGCTGGCGGGCAAACTAGTCATGCAGAACAGTGTGGAGGAAATGAGCCAGTGTGTTCCCCTGGTGATATAAATGCTTTATCAAGCTGATCCCTGCCTTGTTATGTAAACTATACCAGGTACTGTTCATTTTAAACACAGAGATAAACAGATCTAATATGCTTCAGGGCATCATGCTTTATGCATGAACTGCTTTTTATTTTTATATTAAAGATTTTCTTGACAGAACCCTTTGCAATGGAGTAAAGCAATATTCTAACATCTTAACTACAACCACAGCAGCACCTATAAGTTCAAAGCAGTGAGAAAGATAGTCCCAATTCAATTAGACCAATGCAAACCTTTTTAATTAATTCTTAATAAACAATTAATTTTAGTGAATGCGTCTTGTAATAAGAATGTCTCTCTCAAAAGATAAATGAAAAAAAAATCCTCAGAGACAAGTGTTATAAAAGTATAGCTCAGGCTATCTGTTTACAATATTTAGCTATCTTTCTTTTGCCTGCCATTTATTTTTAATTTCAATTTCTGCTTAGATTGATTTGAGATGTAATATTTTTAACCTTTTCATGCATTTTGTAATCCAGTTTTTATCAACTAATAGAGAGTTCAAATTAACAGTAACTCCATACAATATTCCTGTTGAAAAAATGTGGGGAGTAATACTTTGTGCCAGTTATAGGAATTTGATTAAGTCAATTTAGAGATCCAGTTTGGTTTTAATGATTAAGGCACCAGCCTAGAAACTGGAAGACTGGGAATTCTGGTCCTGCCTTAGACTCAAAGCAGCTGGGTCACCTTGGGCTAGTCACTCTCTCTCAGCCTCCGTAAGAAGGCAATGGCAAACCACTTCTGAAAAACCTTGCCAAGAAAACTGCAGACTAGTCAATGCTGACTTGAAGGCTCTCTCTCTCTCTCTCTCTCTCTCACACACACACACACACACCATTAAATTGATAGAAGATTCAAGGCAAGTATGTTCCCCCCCCCACAAAATTATTAGTAATTTTGGCAACAAAGGACTTGGGCATGGTCCAAAACAGATTGCTAGACTACATGGACATTGGGGCTATCAACTTTTTAAACAACATAATTAAAACTCATCTTTGTGATGTTTTTCCTAATAATGGAGTTTGTAATTAATACCACTTAAAATTCCATAACAAATGTATGTATGTGTATGTATGTATATTCATATTAAATATAAACTAAATCAGCTGAAAAAGTAACTCCCATATTTATCAGTGTCATACATAGAGAGTACAAAATTGTGGCATTCATGTGATGACACCATGATATATGTGTTACGATTCTGGCATCATCATAGTTTGCTGTAGATGCTGTTCAAACAAAATAATAAAACCTATTTAGGGTTCTCCTAAAAACAATAGAAGGTACTTTATGAATCACCTTGTGAACTGAATTCCAAAGGCTCTCATTGAAGAACCTGATTTGATTGAAAAGCTTGAATGAGATAATATGGGAACTCTGAAACACTATATTTTATACTATACATCTTCAGGATATACATCTTGCTTTCAAATTAAATCTCTGTTACAGCATTGAGAAGTCCAAAACATAAACATAACAAGCAAATAAAACATTGGGATAAAAACATGATCGAAGATCCAGATAAAGCTCAGGGCCTCAATAACTTGTCACTAACCCGATTCCTGAAGAGTCATTTGGTGGACTGGACAAGCCACAGCACAAAATTTGGCCACACTAAGTGTAACAGCTGTATCTGTATCTGCAAATAAAAAGGAAGTATAAAATATATCAGATCTACCTGTTCTATTAGTGAAAAAAAAGTGTGATGCAAGTGGCATGAAAACCATGATAAAATAAATACTAAACAGAAGAAGAAGAGTCATGGTGTCAACCTCCCATGAGGTCTTTGAAAACTATGATAAGCTGAACTCCCAGAAGTTGTGTTCCAACATTTTACAATGATTTTCTGTCTCACTCTTCATTTCTAAGTTTATAGGGAAGCTGGAATGGACTAAGCCAATACGTGTTATCACCTTTTCTTGGAACAGAAGAGAGAATAGATGATTTTTGTTTACTATTGTTCATGTGAGACTTGTGGAACACTCTTGCTAAATAACCAAAGAGAAAGGAGGCAGATTTACAGAATAACAAAGTTGGAAGGGACCTTGGAGGTCTTCTAGTCCAACCTCCTGCTCATTCCAGACATTTGGCTGTCCAGTCTCTTCTTAAAAGCCTCCAATGATGGAGCTTCTGAAGGCAAGCCATTCTACTGGTTAATTGTTCTCACTGTTAGGAAATTTCTCCACAGTTTGGGTTGCTTCTCTCCTTGATTAGTTTCCATCCATTGTTTCTTGTCTTGCCTTCTGGTGCTTTGGAAAACAGGTTGACCTCCTCATCTTTGTGGCAAGCCCTTAGATATTGGAACACTGCTATCATTCACCCCCATTCCTTCTTTTCACTAGACTAGACATACCCAATTCCTGCAACAAGTCTTCATATTATTTAGCTTCCAGCCCCCTAATCATCTTTGTTGCTCTTTTTTGTACTCTTTCCGGAGTCTCTACATCTTTTTGATAATATGGTGAGCAAAACTGGATGCAGTATTCTAGGTGTGGTCTTACTAAGCCTTTATAAAGTGGTATTAACACTTCATGTGATCTTGATTCTATCCCTCTGTTAATGCAACCTAGTATTGCATTGGTTTCTTTTGGCTGCTTCCCCACACTGCTGGCTCATATTTAAATGATTGTCCACTAGGACTCCAAGATCTCTCTCACAGTTATTGCTATTAAGCCAGGTTTCACCTAATCTCCATCTGTATATTTGTTTTTTCTTGCTTAAGTGTAAAAACCTTATTTTTCTACACACTAAATTTCATTTTTTAGATAGGGCTCAGTGTTCAAGTCTTTCGAGATCCATCTGGATCTTGAGCCTAAGAGGCAAAGAGTTAGACAAGAGAGGAAGATAACCATGCACAGGTGAAGCCAGAATTTGTAACTGTTGTTTACAGCACTGTATGGTAAGTCAGCTCAAATAATTACAACTCCTTTGTAGTATTTATTTAAAAACAACAGTGGTATCTCTGTTACTACAGTTTATGCTGTGCCACCAACAGACTGTAATGAAATAGGACCATTTTTAGGTGTCTCCTGTTAATAAAGGCATACCATAATATAACATCTATACTTCTTTGCATATCATTTTTAAAAAGAGAGATTTTACATATGTCCTTCGCAATACTGCTGAGTGCTAGGATTTCAATAGCTCCTAAACCTAATGCACTGTATATAGGAACTAGTAGTTTGAACCAGTGGTGAAATTCAATTTTTTTTACTACCGATTCTGTGGGCGTGGCTTGGTGGGCGTGGCAGGGGAAGGATACTGCAAAATCTTCATTTCCACCCCACTCCAGGGGAAGGATACTGCAAAATCCCCATTCCCTCTCCACTCCTGGGGGAAGGATATTGCAAAATCTCCATTCCCACCTCATTCTGGGACCAGCCAGAAGTAGTATTTGCCAATTCTCCGAACTACTCAAAATTTCCGCTACCGGTTCTCCAAACTACTCAAAATTTCGCTACCAGAACTTGTCAGAACCTGCTGGATTTCACCCCTGGTTTGAATCTAGTAGTAATCTAGTAGTAGTAAAACGTGTAGCCTCAAATAAAACAAAACTGATTGGCCACTGCCTTTAGTGGCCAAGAAAAGTAAAAAAAAAACCAAAAACCTACCACACAGGATGTTTACATGTAAAAAAAAGAAGAATCTCCTCCCCGCCCACCACCACGCAAGTGGCAGTAGAAATCATATAAACTGTGGGCATGGTATCACATCTGTATCTTTTTGTCTGAGAACTTATGTCAGGAAGGTGAGCTGTATATAACATTCTAAAAAAGATAGATCCTGATTATACCCTGAATTATAACTTCTTAATTTGGCAAGTGAAGATCCATTATAGTAGGACTCTAGGGCAAGAATGTGTTAAGAAAATTATTCTTTCTGTCTGCTCATTTAAAGTAATCCCTTTGGGTGATTAAATGAAATATTACTTGTTTAATAACCGTCAGAACATTACTTTTAAGCAGAAATATTTTGCATATTTTCTCTTCCTAATGTTAACTCACTCATGTCGTGGGAAAGGCACAGACATCACACAAAGGAAGAAGAGTTTAGCACCTGAATACTGTTTGTCCTGTCATTGTGGCATCTATAATTTAGTGTGAAGCAGTGAGGTAGACAGAGCATTATCATCAGAAATCACCCTGAACAGGGATATAAACCACACTCGCAACAACACTTGTCAGAAAGGTGACTGCAGTCAAAACTAATATCCAAGAGTTTCAAGATAAATGCTGACAAAGCAACCGTCCTATAAGACTACTATTGCTCCAAGAAATAAAAATAAAATGGGAAAACACCCTCAGACCAAAGTATGAAGTTCCCCTGAAGGGAGCAATTTAATTTTTATTGGGGCATAATAAATTCTCTATGAATTAATACAAGTAAAGCTTTGATATAACTGGATAAGATTATTTTATGTTGCTACAGAGGAATAAATAGTTTCCCCCCTCCCATTATTCTAAATTAATCCAATTTCCTGCATTCTATCTTTCTTCTTCTCTGGTATCCTGGACTGTATCTATGAAATTCCCAAACCATATAATTAGCTGAAGATTTTATAGATTCAGACCTTTTGCACAATCTATATGCTATTATTCCTCAGCCAGTATTTCTATTTTCATATACTTCACAATGGGTTTCCTGGAAACTTAATATCAGTGTACTTCCTGCCACATAAACTATGAACCCACAGGGAAACAAACAAACAAAATCTTGAATTATAGCCATTATGATTTACTTGGTCATGTGTAGTTTTTCAGTTTGCTCATTCAACATACATGGCAAATATTTTAATATATAAAAAACAATAAGAAGATATGCCAATTGTACAAGATACCTGTTCTTCTACATTTTACTTTAGAGGAAACAATCTTTTTTCTTTAAGATGTAAGTAGGGGAGATATTTGTTTTATGTTTGTCCTTCATAAAGGAACTTTTCTTACTAAACTTTTCATCCCAAAACTGAATTCTGTGAATAGTATTAATATAGTATTAGTATTAATAGTATTAATAGTAAATAGTATAATTTACAAGTAAATGCAGATTTTTTTTCAATGGCAACCAGCATGTTTATTTGTAAGAAGATAACATGTCCATTAACCTCCTCAAAAGGAAAAATATAAGAAATTATTATTTTCCTTACTTTCTCAGGCTGTAGTCTTACTCATACCTGTTTAGGAATAAATTCAATTAAATTCACTTAGGTTTACATCTGAATAGGACATTAACATTAATGACAAAATACAATTTGATATAATAAAATATTACTGCTGTGCAAATGAAATTATAATAGATCGATGTCAAACAATTAGTCCAAGTGCCTCAAAGCAGATCCACTGATAGACCTCCAATTTAAAGCAGGGAACTCTTTCTTCATTGTTTATTGAAACTATGTTTTTCACCACAAGTGCTCATTCTTTCCAATACATCACAATGACGGAAATTGATCTAGATTCCAGGGCAGACGCATTCCTACATGGCAATTTCAATCTCAAAAACAACTAAACAAATAGTGCAGAGAAAAGACATGAACTACATGGAATTACATAATGTAATAATAAATAGGTAGAGAAGCTACAAAAGATGTTAAGCCCCCTCATATTATATTGCAGGCAGTTGGAAGACAATAGCATTATTTTTGCAGCTGCGGGGACACCAAGACAATAGACCATGTGAAGTATCATTTGCTTCACAACAAGATCCAAATCCAAGTGCAAAAAAAGAGAAGAAAAACTGCCGTACTTAATCTCCAAGGACTGCCAACATCCTGTAATTCTTATGTGAAAGAAATAGAAAGAAAAACCTTGCTTTACACAGAGAGTAATCACATTAGCTGCATTTAATTAGTTTAATTCAAGTTTAATTAAATGTATACTTACATTCAAATTAAATTACATAAAAATTAACTTTAAATAAATAATTTTGTCCTTGCTCAGACAACGTTTATCTTGGATTTGGCCACTTTTAGGACCTTGGCATGCCACTCACAGAGCAAGTAGACCTAACCATGAAAAAGACAATGCAGCCATAGATTATATTTAATTAAATTAATTTCAAATGTTCTCAGTTTTGGTATATGTGCATCCTGTGTAGATTGCACATGAAATCAGACTGCTTATCTCCACTCACCCAATTATCTAAACACTGTCAGAGGTCAGAAGTGCACAGTCTTTTTCAGACCAACTGCCACAATAGGCTATAGTGCTCTACTTAGTACCAAACAAATTTTGGACAAATTACATGCAAGACCTTGGCAGCTGCAAATTGTACATCTGTCACAGATATACATATCTATTGTTTCTAAAATTGTTGATGTAAAGTAAGACATTCTGGAATTTCTTCCTCGGGTACAAGGTAGATTCTTTTTTTCTTCCACTATTTCTCAAGAAAGAAATATTAAATAAAGCAAATGAATCTCATTTGATGGAAAGAAGGCTCATTTCATCACAATATTGCTAAATTATCAAGAACTGGCTGCTTTTGCTGAAAAAAGAGATGTATGAGAAACAACTGTGTATCATCAATGAAGCGTTTTAAAAATCTGGAGTTTAATTTTTGTGACCTTCCATGAGTTCATATCTTGATATGCTCAATATTCACACTATTGTCATGAGAAGCAATCACTTTGTTATCAGGGAT